TCCTTGCCACTTAGGGGTTTAGGGGTATAGGAGCTTAGGGGTTTAGGGGTTTAGCGTTGTTTAGGCCTTCAGGTCTTGCGTTTAAAGCTTCGGGGTCCGCGGCTTCAGTTTAGGGGCCTAGGGTTTAGGGCTTAGGGGTTTACGGTTTAGGGGGTCTATATAGGGGTTTAGGGTTTAGGGTTCAATGAAAGCCAACACTGGCAGGCAGGCAACCACGAAGAAAGCCTTTACTATGGAAGTTGGGGTTTGTCGGGTTTTGGGCGGTCTCTTTGCCTTGACCCCTTCAGAACCCCAAAGCCCCAGAACCTCATTTTCCTGACTGCCTTGAACAACACAGAGAGGATCCTAGCTCTCATCATCGGTTTAGACTTAGGAAGTTTAGGGTGGAGAGTTTAAGGCAGAGACTTTCACCCTAAGGGTCCTAATAATCATATGCTTGGGTTACGGAGAGTAGCTTTGTAGGTTAGTATTCAGAAGAGTATATGATTATTAGGTACTTGGACCCGCAGGGTAAGGTTTTTAAGTCATGTTCCGCCAGAATGTTGGACTATTGGTTTCGCCAAACCGTAGAGGCCCAGAAGACCGGACAAAACACCCAAACAGGCATCCTACTTATACTTCTGCCTTTCAGCGTTTTGTGGGACATGTAAGAAAGACGGAGCCTTTTATGTAAACCCGAGTTGAATAGTGTAGGATCCTGATTATAAGGAACTGCAGAAAAAAAAAACATGTGTATCAAGGACGCCCGGATGGCTCCGCCAATAGTTACTATATGGGCCTGAGTTATAGCAATAGGTTTCCCAGACCTTCCCTAGTATATTTCGCGTAGAAGGCCCACCTAAACTTTCAAAGCCCTAAATGCGGAGCCCAAAACCTAAGCCGGCACGCTGGCTTTTTCCGCGCTTCGGGGGTGCAATGCGAAGTGTCAGCTTTCTTGGAGGATCTACTTGAAACCCTAAACCCTAAACCCTAAACCCTAAACTCTAAACCCTAAACCCTAAACTCTAAACCCTAAACCCTAAACCTACTTGATCCTCTGATGGCTGCAACGAGCTCTTGGATCTCCTAGGAGCAATGCTGTCGTCGCCATCGTCACCGAAGCAGTGACAAGGATTGGGGGAAGCCCGAGTACCCTAAGGGTCCATGTACCCAAATAGTATGTACAAATTGGCCCTGAATGTAGTCCCTAAACCCTAAACCCGAAGGCCCTAAACCCTAAACCTTAATGTAGTCTCTATATAGGTACTTTAGGGCCAATGTATATACTATTTGGGTACATGGACCCTTAGGAGTAGAAGTTGTCTCCCGTAACCTTCGGGTCCGGTCGCCACTTCCACAGGTGGCTGTCTGCGTTCTGCATGAGCCATGGGGGTGAGAGAGGGCCCTGCTTGCCTAAAGACGCTTGTGGTGTGCCTTAAGCCCTACCTACAGTCTCCGTTGTAACCAATCATGAATATAGTAAAAACCCATAAAGCATACGTATAAAGGAACGATAGTGGAGACCATTGGTAAAACCGAATGTAGGAGCCTTGACAATTAAAATAGGGTTTTGGGGAATATTCTACTATAATAAGAAGAAGAATGAGGAGCCCCCCAAAATACTGCTGGGAATTCTTTAGGCCCTTTTAAACCCTGAACCCTGATGGTATTGGTAATGCTTTAATTAAGCTTCTCTATTAAAGCGGCCCAGGAAGCTTTCCAGGTCCCTAAGATCTGCACTGGGTCGCCAACTCATGGCGAGCTGTCCCAGTCCTTAACTCGCCGTGAACACGAGCAAATCTAACTCGACCCGCGCTGCCCAAGCTATGAAATCTAAGGGTTATGGGTTTAGGGTTTATAGGGCTTACCAACAAAAACACGAACCGTTACATAAGCTATAAGAGCCAGGTTGAATATTCAAGAGCTAAGCTTCCCCGTGGCTGATGCTGCGAGCCATCAAACCTCCACATCCATACGCGTGCTGTCGCGTTGTCAAAGAGACCTTTGACACCCCCAAACTGCCAACAAGCCGCCTCTGTCTTATGAGCACGTTCCAGGCAAAGGGCAACCACCTCCTTGAGTGCGGCCTGATGTCCATCATGCTCGCACAGCAAATTGACACTCGACAGTTCCCCACTGTCTGCATCCACAAAGCAAGCGCTTTGCGGTAACTGAGACCATGCAGCCTCGTACCAATCCTCGTTGACATGCGCTAACGGTGGCTGTTCCGGGCTATGGCGAAGGGCACGGAAGGTCGTGATGCCAAGCTCAGTGTCGTCTGCTGGAGCGACGCAACCAAGCATGTACTTCTCTCCGGCGAAATGCATGCAGGTCTTGCGGGTGTGAAGCAGAGTGTTCATGTGTGGCGGCTGCCAATGCTCAATGATCCTTGGCTTTGCCTAATTTTTTTGGTACCCGTTTTCATGAATGCCAAGAGCCATGAAGCTTCACCAAGCCGCAATCCGCGGCTTCGGTCTGAACGACCGCTTGAAACTCGGGAGTCACTAAATCCTAAGCCCTAAACCTGAAACCCTGAACTTCAAAACCGAATAGATCCTGAGCCCGAACCCCGGAAACACTGAAGCTTGGCTGAGGATCTTCTTCACCGACGGGAAATCGAACTGCATGCACACTGCAACATCATCTCGGAAGTAAGCCTCAAAGTCCAGAGGGAAGTCAGACTTCGCGTTGCGGCCGCTGGTCAGAAAAGCCGGGGTCAGTCCCGACCACTCGGCCATGATGTCCTAAAATGAGGTCAAATCTGTGTACCACATAGTAGTAGTAGTAGAAGTAGTAGTAGTAGTAGAAGAAGTAGTAGTAGTAGTAGGAGGTGCCACCCCCGCCTACCAACTACCTCTGCTGCCAACCCTCTTAAGAGCACGTTCGTTTGATTCGGTATTTACGGTACGTTCGTCCGGTGACACCACTTCTTCTTGTCTCAAAATCCA